TTCGATAGCCATGCCCACCTCCCGTCATATGAAATTAAGGAGGACGGATATGTTCCGCCTCTCCCTTCCGAAATCCGAAATGTCAATTCGCCGGCTAAAAATCGAACAGCACCAGATCCGGAGAGGATAAGACCAGAACACCTTATCAACATTCCGGCAGTCCCCGTATACACACTGACTCTGCTATTCACACGTTAACTATCTGAATGAAAGGTCCCTGCTCAGTTGAAGCCCAGTAAAACCGTGTTATTGTTCAAGAAGGGCGACCTCGAGGATAACGCAACTATCACCAAATCTCCTTATTGTTTGTCCTCTACAAACTTTTCAATCGAGTCATCCTAAACAGGATTGACATAACACTGAACGAAAGACAGCCACGCGAACAAACAGGGTTTCGAAGAGGCTTTAGTACGATGGACCACATCAACACGGTAACAAGGCTCATTGCGCGGGAGTACAGAAGACCGCTCTGTCTCACTTTCATCGATTTACAGAAGGCCTTTGATTCAGTTGAGATAAAAGCAGTCTTGGACACCCTTGATAATTAAGTTGCCGCTACTCAGTATATAAAGATTCTTCGTGAGCTGTACAAAAATTTCACAACCAAGGTATAACCATTCTACAACGATATTAACATTGACGTTAAAAGAGGAGTTAGGCAAGGCGATACCATCTCGCCAAAATTATTTATCATCACACACCAGAAGGTCGTGAAAAATTGGAATGGGATAATGTGGGAGTGAAAATCGATGGTCGGCAGTTGCACCATCTTCGCTTTGCTGATGACATCGTCCTTATAACACCAAACATTAGCCAAGCGGAACGTATGCTTGAACGTAACTACATAGACTTCTCGACAACTGATACGACATTCGAAGAGGTTGTTCACTGTCATCCACCTCCAGGACGGCGACCGAAGAAATGTCAGCAACTATTGATAGATTTCTATATTGATTACGCACTGCAGCCTCTTCATAAGGATCATAATATTGCGCGTATCAAGGGTTTTGAATGAAGCACATCCATTGACGCCGCTGCATGGACGATATCTACACCGTGTCTTAGTTGAAATAAGTTTGTTGGGAAATCCACCTGCTCCTTGATTCAACATTTGGTAAAGATGAAATACTGCTTCACAACATCGAGAAAAATCCAATCCTGTCAGCGTTTGTCCATTGAAGACTGGATCAGCCCTGTACAAAAACTAAACTGACTCGAATCGTAACTTCGGTCCAGGAATCCAACTCTGCCGACGACGCTTGGTAATTCTGTAGGAAAAGAGACTCAGAAAAATGGAGCTGTTTAACCAAAGCAGTTTACATTATAGTGGATAATAAAATCGCTCAACTGAGTATGAGAAAAGTATAACACTAGCGACAAATTCTTTCAAATCATTGCTTCGGTAGTAACACCGTCGTCTTTTCAAGGAGTACACGAAGCAGTGACCGCAATCATTGAATTTAACGACACGAGAAAAAGGAGTGGACTGGGCGTAAACATGAAAACACATATTTGGTAAAAAAAAAGCCACGGCACAAAGGTGAACAACCCGAAAAGAATAGTTCCCTGATTGCAGAGACAACTTGTATGGATACCTTCGGCGCTCAGAAAACAAACAACACGAAAGAGGTGGCATGAGATGTGTTTGTAACTCTTCATAAAATCCACTCACCAACTAATGAATCCGAATCACTGCGCCCTCCTTTTTCTCAACGGTTCTCTCAGCGTTCAGCTGCATTGGCTATGTTGGGTGATATTTCAGCCAAGAGGAAAATGTTGTCCACCATCCACAGAACACGTGAAGAATGTTTTTGGAATGTGGCCAGCACACAAAAGGTCTAGTCAGTCTGTGTAGCTCAGATCTTGAAACCTATGTAATCTTTGGGGCGCGCAGCACTACAAATCCTTAGCGAAGAACAGTTATATCGATCATACGATAAGAACAGAAGACATATAAGCAGACAGGCGTTACGAACTGCACACTGAATCTTAAAAGATCTAGGAGAGCCATTTACACGACCTACACAATGTGTTTTTACCTAAAACCAGTCAGCGACGTTAGCCCCTACAAACGCTTTACAGAAAAACTCGCAGAATTCATCACACTCGAAGCTAACCACCACGATAATCGACGAGAACGAGTCTATGAAACGAATGGGGAAGCTTCTGGAGGAGGCAATACTCTCGATGATAGACGGTGCCATGTATCTAAGTAAACACTTCCTGTTATGATTTCCAATGGTATAAAACAAGAGCAACTAGACATATAAAACAAACTGAAGATGTGGAATGAGAAAAAACTAACGGGAAGTCTTGTTATTTTCATCTATAGATAGCTTGAAAACTGCATGATTTCTACTCGACTGTTCATTGCATCTCGTAGCGGCTGTTGATCGGGTCCTGTCAGCGATCAATAGAATGTTGTCCACCTGAACCAAATTGTAGTGAAAATGATTAGGTAGGAGTGTGCACAATTATCTAAACTAGCATCGCCCTTGTCATTTATGTCGTAAAACTTCAAACCGTTGGCCGCCGTGTTACCGGAACCCATTTTTATTTCTAGCTTATTTCTGCCAGTGAGCAAATCATACACTTCTTCATTTTATACTTTCATGAAGGACGCTTTGAACTTTAACTGAAATTTAAAGTTTTTCTAACAAACATATCCAGAAGAAAATCATAACCGAGTGAAATATCTCATTGTCCAATCTAGGTTCGATAACTTATCATTTGAATGGAAAAGTAACTTAATAGCTCACGGAATAAAATCTTCAGACTCACCTCCACCTAGGAAGTTAAAGGTCATAGACAAGATTTACATATCGAATAACTGGTTTGGCTAATAATGGCGTATGGCCATTTGTTGTCGTAATAGGACACTCCATATAACGTTGACTCGATAAAATGTGTTGATGCAAATTTAATAGACAAAGCATAAATCTCGAAATTCATATAGTTAGTGGAACTGCCTATGAATGAATACCTCTTTTCATCGAATATGTCTCACCACTTCCTGTCTTTCCATACGCTATAATAGAAACGATGTACCCGTGCAGACAAGACTGAAAATGTGTACAGTACAGATGCCCCGCCCTTACAACTAACGGATACGACTACACACCATAACTAATTCTTGAACGTCGTTGAACACGCGTTCTTGGCTCATAATTGGACCAAAAACCTTTGAAATTCGAAAACTTGAGATCCATTGCCCTAAAATGATCGCAAATTATAAAGTAATTCAATACTGATAAAAAGCATAGCAATAATCAGTGGTTTCACGGCAGGGTGTTATGTGCGATACAACTACAACAATGCTGATATAGTTGCAAAACCCCGAACCGCAGGTGTCTGCGGTGGAGAACGAACGCGCTATTACCTTTTCGGGAAGTTAACGCGTTCAGGGCGCTCGTGGCGCAGTGGTTAGAGGCTCCGTGTAGCACACACATGGAATCTCGATTCCCACGCCCATGGCCCATCAAGCCTTCCATCCTTCCGGAGTCGGCAAATTGGTGCCAAACTTGTCTGGGAGGAAAGCAGCACTGGCTCGATAAATCGGTAGGCCACCGAAAGTCCTTGTAAATTCTAGATATGCATTCATTTACCCCCAAGGGTACTCAATAAATTCGAATGCATGGCGTATCCCTCAGGGATTGATCAACGCCGAGAGCTCTATCCTTTTAGCTTTTACTGCGGTTAAAAGAAAGCCGACCTTGAGACGGGCTACGTCATGCAACAGTTTCCTGTCATGGTCTAGGGAAAACGAAAGAAGTCGTAAATAACCTGAGTATTCTTAATAAAATCTTCTCGCCACATAACTGGCAAAGAAATGGCGACCCGACCGAAAACTATACGCTACTTCTCGAAGGATTTAGCTTGTGCCAAATTCGCTTCAGTGCCTCAAACAAGAAGTTCAGACCGCACCTCTATCACCACTAAGGAGTTACTAGAAAATAGAACCACGAAGCTTTATGAACCTACAACACATATAAGACTGCTGGTTAAATGCCAGATGTAGAGGATTCTTGAAAAATCATTTACATTGGTATAGGCAAAACGTTGTTGGAAACGGCTTAAAAACTAATTTCAGGAAGTGCCGTCGAGATCCTTGCGATTATCCGCTCTGATGAACGAAGACCGGACCATGACAAAATCGATAACGAAAAAGCTGTATTCCAATCTTTTCCACTCCACATTCCCCTTCTCGAACCTCGAGGTGCTCACTAGTGAAAAACCGCCAGGGATATTACCTTCTGAGTGCTAAGTGGCGATAGAGAGCAAGAAGAGAGGCCAGAGGTTAGCGACCCAATAATATCACTGCCGACTTCCATAGAGCAGGTAGCCACATTTACATGTATTTCTCGCAACCCATACGACACTTTGCCTTGAGAAAGAGAAAGTCGCATACCATTGGAAGACTCCGTGCGCGGTCAAGCCGCTCTGAAAGGGTGACTAAAGAATTCTCCGTAAATACCGTCCAACATGTGTGTTAGGTCGCCTGATAGGCCTATTTAGCGCACTATACAGGCTGTTCACCAAGATCATCACAAAGCACGCATCAAAGACATTGAACAAGGCAAAACCATTTGAGCAAGCAGGATTACAAGAAGGATTCTGCTGCATAGACTACTTCAAAATCCTATCGCGAGTCACAGAAATCTACTGTGAGTGAAATCTACCCCTGTTCCAAATTATATCAACTACAAAAAACCAGCCGAGACTATCGAAACACATGCAATCCTATCAGCGCTCGTCGGCCGATGAATGGGCACCTCCTACGCAAGAACACTAGCCGAACGTTGTCAAAATATAAAAATAGAGCAACCTAGTGTCTGCCTATTGAACAAAAACATCGAATTACCAATCAATGCCGAGCTTAGAAGAAAGTCGGTCGTGTGAATTAAAAATAGAGCTTTCCCATCGATCCCATAGTCTACCTATCACCTGTGTCACCCGTAGTTCCGTTGATCGCTGAGTGACTTGAGCGGCCGCCAGTAAATCTACCATTTTTCCCTGTCGCGTGCGAGAGTAACCCAGTGGTTTCCACTCGCTCTAGGGACACGACGAGCATCATACCTTTCTTCAAGGCTCTTTGTGAAGAACTCTGACCATCGGATCGGTGGTCTTTCTGCAGTAGGTTTGACATCTCGAGGAATCCAGTCACTAACGGCTTGTGTCCATCGGTTGCCATTCATACGCATTGCGTGTCCGGCCCATTTTATCTTCGACTGTTTGGCGTACAGAACAGCATCTTTGATTTTTGATCGCTGACGGAGGTCGGAGCTTCGAATTCCATCTCTTACTTGTGTGAAACGGGATACTCCTAGCATCGTTCTTTCGACTGTGCGATCAATAACGCTGAGTGTTCTTTCGTCCTGTTTATCCTACGACTACGTTTCCGGCGCATATACAGGGCAGGAAGTATGGTTGAGTCGAAAAAGTGGGCACTGAGTCGGGTGTTCTTTGTTCTCTTCACTACATCCTCGATGCTCCTGAAAGGTTCCCAAGCCGCTCGTTTTTTTTGCTCAGCTCTGTAGCTAGGTCTTTCATCATATTGATTCCCGACCTAGATAAATATAACTGAAGCACTCGGAGATATTCGTTTCGTTGAGCGTGAATGAACCGTACGAAACCAATCCCTTCCTTATGAACATCGTTTTTGTGAGATTTAGTCGTAGACCAATCCTTCCACAGGCTTCATCAAAGTGGTCAAGCATACGTTCCGCCTGGCTAATGTCTGGTGTTATAAGGACGATGTCATCAGCAAAGCGAAGATGGTGCAAATGCCGACCATCGATTTTCACTCCCACATTATCCCATTCCAATTTTCGCACGACCTACTGGTGTGTGGCGAGATGGTATCGCCTCGCCTAACTCATCTTTTAACGTCAATGTTAATATCGTTGTAGAATGGTTATACCTTGGTTGTGAAATTTTCGTACAGCTCACGAAGAATCTCTATGTACTGAGTAGCGACAACTTAATTATCAAGGGCTTCCAAGACTGCTTTTATCTCAACTGAATCAAAGGCTTTCTGTAAATCGATGAAAGTGAGACAGAGCGGTCTTCCGTACTCCCGCGCAATGAGCCTTGTTACCGCGTTGATGGGTCCATCGTACTAAAGCCTCTTCGAAACCCTGCTTGTTCGTGTGGCTGTCTTTCGTTCAGTGTTATGTCAATCCTGTTTAGGATGACTCGATTGAAAAGTTTGTAGAGGACAGACAATAAGAAGACTTGGCGATAGTTGCGTTTCCTGGAGGTCGCCCTTCTTGAACAATAACACACTCTTATTGGGCTTCAACTGAGCAGGGACCTTTCATTCAGATAGTTAACGTGTGAATAGCAGAGTCAGTGTGTATACGGGGACTGCCGGAATGTTGATAAGGTGTTCTGGTCTTATCCTCTCCGGATCTGGTGCTGTTCGATTTTTCGCCGGCGAAATGACATGTCGGATTTCGGAAGAGAGAGGCGGAACATATCCGTCCTCCTTAATTTCATATGACGGGAGATGTACATGGCTATCGAAGAGATACGAGTAGTATCCGAAAATCATTTTCTCCATTCCCCTTCTGAACGCTGTAACTGCTCCGTATGGGCGCCGGAGTGCAATCGTTTTGGTCTTGTAATTGGCGAAACTTCGCTGGGCTTCGCGAATGCTTTTCCCAGCCTCTGCAGTTTCGACCATTACCGCTGCTCTTCTCTTTTTAAGATATTTTATGTCTGCATTATTTTGCCAGTTCGGACGTTAGTTATCGGCTGACTGTAGCTCATGCGATTCCACGCTAGCGTATCAGTTCGGGTGTTTTTGAAGACAAACGTCTCTTGGTGATCGAGCCCTCAGCTTTCATAGCACTAACGTGAAGATCGTGAATTAACCAATCGTATTGTTCGTCGATGTTACCGACAACAGCATCTTTCCAACAGCCAACTGATGAATTGAATAAATCCCACTTTACGGTGCTTCTGGGGCTTCGGTTTTGAAATTTAGCGGCTTTTTCTCCTTTCCGCGAGAAATTTAATTTTGCGCGAAGGAAACGATAGTCTGATCCTGTGTAGAATTTTGGGACAACAGCGACATTGGTTAGGCAAATCCTTCTATTTACTTTTATGTGGTCTATTTTGTTATGGTACTCTCCATTGGGAGGCTCCAAGTTCAGCGTTGAAAACGGGCCTTCTGGAATTGCGAGTTGCCATGGATGGTCTTGGACGTCAAGATAAACTAAGACAGCCGCTCACCCTGTTCGTTCCATTTTAATTCGTGGGTCTCAATGTAACGTTCTTCAGAGGTTCTTCTTGATCTAATCTTAGCGTTGAAATCTTCAATGATGGCCTTAAAGAATGTGTGGTCTTCTCTGTTGAACTTCTCCAAGTTCAAAAAGGACGCTTCGAGTTCTTCTTCGTCATAGTTTGATGTTGGCGCGTAAACGACGAACATTGTCAAACCCGGAATTGATCCGCGTCTTCTTAATCGTAACGTCCGATTCGGGTTGTAAGTTGTTCCAATGAATCGATGTTCATAGACAAACTCGTGTTGACGAGAACGCCGACGCTTTCGACTTTTCTACTGTCGCATGTTCCGAGGAATAGTTCTTCTCCGGTGTCATAGACGGCGTTGAAATGCTGCGCCTACTCGTCTCGGCCAAGCCGATGACGTCGTACTTTATATTTCTTGCTTGCATGAGCAGGTCTTCTATCGAAAACTCGGATGCAAGTGCACGTGCATTGTAAGTACAGATCGTCACCATAGTTCTTTGAAATCCAGGGAGCTTCCATTGGTCCTGAGATTTTAGCAGCCTCTCCGTACTCTTCCTAATGCTGCGAAACCTAAGCTCTTCCGGGGCCAAGGGAATGAGTCCCGTTTTTTTTTTTACTGTGTTAGCATTTTTGATACCCATTTATAGCTTGCTGGGCTCTAAACGTGGGAGCTCGGTATATTTAGAGGTAGCTTACCATTCTCCCCCGGAGTGGACATTGAGCTAACTTGTTGGAGGCGACTCCCAACTGCCTCCCGTATACCTCCTAGTCACTTGATTACAGGTGACTCGTAGAATACAGTCCGCATAAGCAAGAACGCACCCACACACGCATGCATGAATACGCCTAGCAAATACAAAAAGGTCAAATCGGCGCATTTGAAGCAAAGAGTTTATCTCCTGGATCCACCTGCTTCTCAGGAAAGCAAAGGTCGCTTTTGCTCTGCGATTAGCCCCATATCCGCCACGTGGGAACGTGCCACGTACCCTCGCGACTAACCGGCTCGAGATCCCTCACATGTGGAAGATCCGTGGACCCTACCTATACGAAAACTATTTCTATAAAGCGACACAATTTCGCCAAAGCGGTGCACTGCCGGACTGCTGCGGAAAGTGAAATCACTCAACAAGGACATTGGTAGAAAGTTCTTAGCAAATCTTTCTTTCGCGGACGATACAGTCACCTTCTCAAGTACCAAAAAGCAGAGACCGTGCTAAATAAACTCGGCAAGGCGAAGAAGAACTGTTGGACTGCGCTTAAATAGGGCAAATTTCCAGTAGTACATAAAGGAGCCGTGATGCGAAGACCAAATCGAATACCAAATCGAAGTGGCTGGTTTTCCTTTCAAAGGGACCACCTCGTATGTGTACCTTTTACGTTTAATGAGCATACAGGGCAAAATGAAGGAGAAAATGGATAAAACGGGGAGAGCCGCATGTTTTTCTATTTAATAGTCTTAAGCAGACCGGTCGAACGCGGCTGGGATTTCAGGACCAGTCCTATGGGCTGCCTGTATTACATCTGAAGTGGTTGTAGCTTTGCTAGAGAGAACTGAAGGCGGCGTCCAGAGCGGGGTTGCATGTGGAATGGTGCAGGTGTCTGTTCGGAGACTTTTTTGGCACGACAGATGCTGCAAAGTGCATTCAGCTGGCTGCTGCTGATTCCTTTTCCAGCCACTTGCGAGGCAATTGCATGAAACAGTTGTTAAGAGATGATTTACCGAATGTGCAAGGATAGATGTATGACGATTACGAATAGATAGGTGTTGTAGAAGGCATAAGGTTATAATTGTTCTACATAGAGAACATTCCAATATTCGTGGAGAATGTTCTCTATAACACTGTTAGAATCCATGCTACATAAATGTCGTGTCACATCCTCTTCAAAAGGGATTTCAGGGTTTTCCGATGTCCATGGGCGACTTCACCATCTGTACGGTTGCGGCGGCGGTAAGTTTGGAAACACGTCTAGTCTCATTTTTTGAGAACGCCGTGTTATACAGTATGTTGGAAAGCTGCTTTGTATGCATACAACTATTCCATTCCTTATGCAAGAAGTCAGGTGTTCTTTGCTTACCTCTCTACATCATCGGTTCTGTTGAAATACTGTCTGCAAGTGGCCCCCTTCTTCTTGCTCAGCTCTGAAGCTAAGTCGTTCATTATGCTGCCTTACCGACCTATATGGACGTAGATGGAGCATTCAAAGGTATTCGTAACGGTGAGTGGTGAGCGTGAATCGGGCATGCGAAACCACTCTGTTTTTCATGAACATCCTTTCTGTGAGATTTAGTCAGGGACCGGTCATTCCACTGCTGTTGTCAAAGTAGGCAAGCATTCTCTCATCCTGGTTAGTGCTTGATATCATAATTCGGTGATCATTTATTTTCACGTCCATGTTGTCCCACTCCAACGTTCGCATGAAGTTCTTGAGGGTATGAAAAATGATATAGTGCTCTCGGTGTTGGTCATTTTTGAGGGATACGTCACGCGTTCGACTTCGCGAAATATCGTTTGGAGGTAACTGAATGCATATGTGGCCTTTACAATGACTCGAGGTGGCCTACAGGTGTATCAAGGCAATGGTTCTATCCTCCCAGACAAGTCTGGTACAACTTTGTTGACCCCGGAGGGATGGAAGGCTTGGTGGGACATGGGTGCAGGTGTGCTAGTTGCCCAGTGGGTTAGGGAGTTGGCCGAATTTGTCTTTTGTCCGCCAACTGTGCGTGGAATGCTCGACTCCATATGAATTCGCTACACGGGACTCTTCTCCGTAACTGCTTTGACCAAGCTCGAGCTTGGGTTATAGTAGTTTATAGCAATAACAACGATGCAGTAATAATGAGTGATATTTGTTGGTATATAAGCTGAGTGGATACGAGCGAGATTGAAATGAGAACAAGTGATACACTCGAAGGAATCTAGGCGGACACTGGAGTTGGAGTATTGAGGAATTGTGGGAGTAGAAGATAAAGAGTGGCGGTTGGAACCGAGGCACTTGTAGATTGGTAGACATACACTAGTTTCCCTGAGTTTAGAACGTATTGCAGGAAGACCATTGACCCAATGGTCAGAGTTCT